TATTGTACAACACAGAGAAACAAAGCTATTATTTTGTAATAACTTTAAATGTAGTATAATCTATAAAAAACATTGAATCACTAGGCTACATACTTGAAACTAATATTGTAAATCAACTGTATTTCTCATTAATTAAAATATCTCTGGTTGAAATGCAATTAAAACAACACTGAGATAGAATTTTCCATGGGTCAGATTGGCAAAAGTTCAAAACCTTGTCAAAACATGCCACAGGCCAGTGGGAAAAGAGGCTGTCTCCAGCAATGCTGGAGGAAATTCCAACTGGTTCAAGTCCTGTGGAGAAGAGACACAGTGTCTAGGAATACTGCACATACAGTTTACCCTTCTGCCCAACAATCTCACTTCTTAGAATCTACCCTGAAGATTCACTTCCAACAAAATGAAACTAAATATGCACAAGGTTGTTGATTACAGCATTATTTGTAATTGCCAAATATCAGAAACTACCTGAATGTCTGCACATAAGAGCACAGGGCCAAGTGGCAGATGTGCAGCTGTACAGGAGGAGGAGGACCACCTCACAGAATGACATGGAGTGACTTCTAGGGTTTATTAAGTGAAAAGAGCAGAAGTGCAGAAGAGGACATGGAAGATACTTCCTTCTGCATAAGAAAGAGGAAATAAGAAAACAGACATGTATCTGCTTGTCTTTATAAAAAACACAGGCAGAAGCCAGAAGTTGGTCATCTACAAGGAGTGGGAGGGAATGGTGTTGCAGGAATACGGAAGACAGTGACACTTAGTGTATCTTTTTTTTATAGTTATGATTTGTGGAAGTATGTTAATACTGTGCCTACTCAAAAAACCAAATTAATAAGGATGATGCCAGGTGCTGTCCTGAGGGTTGGGAGGTAAGGACAGAGCTTCAAAAGAGAGAGATGGTGGAAGGTGAAAATTACCATAGAATGGAAAGACCTAAGTCTCCAGGCAGGAGGTCAGCAGGAGCTCAGATAAACAAGGAGCCATAGAAAAAAACCCATCATTGATAACTTTCAGAATATCAGAGAAAAAAGGCAAAATTCTAAATTTCCTGGAGGTTAGAAATATTCACATATGCTGGAGTAGGAGCCAAAGCAATGGAGAAATTTTTTAAAATAGAAAGCAAAATTATTTCCTATCCATTCTAGATATTTCCTATAAATAGAATCATATATTTGTTCTTTTGTGGCTTGTTCACTAAGCATAATGTTGACAAGACTCACGCATGAGGTAGCATGTATCAACACTTTATTCCTTCTTATGGCTGTATAATAAGATTCCATGGTCTGGATAGACCAGATTTTGTTTATCTAGTCAACTGTCTATGGATACTTGGGTTGCTTCCACCTTTTGGCTTTTGTGAAAAATGCCAGTGAGTGCAAGTTTTTAAGTATCTGCTTTCAATTTTCGTGGGTATATACATACCTAAGAGTGAAACTGCTGCATCCTATGATAATTCCATGTTTAGCTTATTGAGGAACTTCTGGGCATTTTTCCACCATATTCCTTAAGAGACCCTTAAGTAAGTCACACTGTATTCTCTGCAATCCCTTGCAGAAAATTCTCATCAGCAAGAACTTCACAACGTTGGAGTCAATTTCTTCTTACGAAATATTAAGTATCATTAGAAGGGATTAGAATTTGAGGTAAGAATTTACTTCAGAAAATTACCTGTAAAATTTAATCTAGCTTTTAATATCATAAATTATATGTACAGCAAAAACAAACATGCTGTCTTAATGTTAATAATTCAGGGTTTTAGAAAACATTTTTTGCTTTCTGGGAACAAGATTCTCCTTGTCCTCTAAAATATGTAAAGTTGAATGTCATACAAACTGCAAACACATTTTAAACATGTGTGTGACTATCTACAAAGGCTGAATGTACATAAAGTATTATCTCAACTACCAAAATGATAAAGCTCAGAAAAAGACTAATAAAAAATAGCAAAAGTTAAACACTAAATATATATAAGCAGTGTGACTGAATTTTTCTTCCTTTTATATACTATTCTAAATGAATTTAAAGTATATATAATTGTATCAAATATTATAAATCAATTTATTAAAAGCTAATGCAACACATAAATATGTTTATCCACATTTGATGATGTGGGAGGGACACAGGGAGCAAACCCCTCTGCACTAAGGAGAAGTAGGGTAGTAGCCCTTGGAGGTAAAACTTGTTTCCATAAATTTTTAGTAACATATAAAATGGATAGGATGAAATATTACTACTTAAAAAATGGCTTCCTTTTATAAAAATGATACAACATTCATTATATTCAACCAGAAAAATACAGTCACTCATAATCCCATCACTTACAAAAATCATCTGAGTTAACAGTGGGTAGGCATGTGTCCTGACCTCTCTCTATCCATGCACAGACAGGACTGATGGTGAAAATTGCTATTTTTAAAGGTTTCAGTTATTTGAATGCTACACACAAAAAATTAGAAATGAAACTGTAGGTATTGATGAACTTCTGATAAATACAAGGGCTACTGGTTCCTAAAAGCACTGAGTCAGTGATTCTCAAACTTGAGCGAGCATCCAAATCCCCTAGAGGGGTTATTCAAACAGACTGCTGGGCTATCCCCACGGTTTCTGATCCGGCAGGCTGGCAGTCCAGCCAGGAATCTGCATTTCTAACAAGTTCATGGTGATGTTGGTGTTGTTGGTTGGGGAATGAGGCTTTGAGAACCACTGCATTAGGTCAAGAAAGACTGAAAAACAAGATTTTTTTCTATTTTATATCACAATCTTAGACACTATAACTTGACACATCTACCCATGAAAGATGAGGTGGTTGGTTCTTCGTCTTCATCCCATTTCCCCCCAACACCACCTCACCCCACCCCCACCATGTCCCAACTGATTAATGTACTTTCATTTCTCTCAAGATTTATAACATTAACATTCTATTCTACAACTCTGATTCCTCGGTTTTAAAATCTTAGTTGCGTATTTTATTGGATTCAGAGATAGTAATAATAACCATTCCTTTAGGCAGGACTTTGTTGGGGAACCTGGTATCCTCTCGTCAGGGTTTCCATTAAGTGTCCAGAACTGGTGCTCACTGGACCCAAAGGTGTATCTTACTCTGTGGACTTTGGCTTCCCCAGGCTACTTTGCAACCTGGAGAGTGCCTTGTCCTGGTGAATCTTTCCCCTCCCCCTGAGGTCCTGAGACAGTAGTAAAGCCCTCACCTTCCCAAGGATTTTCCTTGTCTCCTCCACATGACCTGGTCGCTGCATCAGTCCCTCCATCCATACTGGGGCTCCCCATCACTCCAGTTTCTTTGCTCAGTACTACTCAAGGGGTGGGAGGAGCTGCAAGTCACACCATGCCCTGTTGCATTGGCATCTTCCCCATTTCCTTGCTTGGTTGCTGCTGGCAAACCTGTGGTTGCCAGTTTTTGAGTCTGCTAGATAATGGAAAAGGAGAATTTCTGATCCTGCTTTACTTTTTCCTCCTTCCTTCCACCTGTAAGTATCCCCAACCTTTTTCTAAAAACCACTGAAAATGTAGGGTTTATTGGACAAAATATGGTCTGTATTATGTATCTACATAATCAATAGTTTTTCTAATTAAAAAAATATATCCTCCAAAATATTTATAGTAGTTTTCTGTGATAAGATTATGGCTGGTTTTTTAAAAACTGAAATTTATATTGACCTTACATGTAGATATAAGAAATGATCGAGAGATCCTATGTACGCTTTACCCAGATTTCGCCAACCCATCAGATTTTAAAAGCAGCAAAACCACCAACAGAATAGTAGTGCCTCTTGAGGTCTGTGAAACCAGTGAAAAAGAAATGTGACCAGGGGATGCTGAACCAGGAATGCCAATTTCTCTCTCAACCTTTAGTATATTATGTTTGGTCTTTTTAAGTACAGAGCAGTGGTTTAAACATCAACAGGTCATACCCAGGGCTGTAATTCTCATACGAAATTAATGTTCTCACAAACTGGCAAGTAATTGCTTCAAGCAGAAGGAGCAATAGCATTTTATTTCATTACAATTAAGCAGTTGACAAAAATGTAAGTGGGAATGTATATTATTATTAAGCAGAAAACAGGAAACAAAGAAACAAGGTATTGAGACTTAAAATATCATTGAAAGTCTCATTGATGTTATCTTACACATAGTAGGTACTCAATACAACTGAACTGAAAATAAACACTTTATAATATGTGCTTGCAAAATGTGTAATGCTGTAGTAAAGTACAATTTCCAAATATGAGATTTTTGTCTGTCAATTTTTTAAAAGCCTTTAAAAATATGATATGCACAAGCTTACCCTGAGGGAAAGATGGAATACAGATTATAAAACCTTTATGTATTTTCCACAATAGCATTTTGAAACTGGAAAAGAACAAATAATTGTGGAAAAAAACTGAATGAACCAATTACTAAAAATTCAGTGCACTCATAACTACCTGATGGAAAATTTGAAGCACCTTTTTTGCGCTTTCTTATGTCATAATATGAAATGTATGAAGTATATAGACCTTGATCTTCAGAAGCTTAAGAAAACTTCAAGTTGTAAGCCAAAATGTCATCAGAAAAAGAAAAATCTGATATAAAAATTGCTATGTAAGGCCACTGTTTAAAGTTCTTTCATGTACAGACACTATACAATTCATATACTTTGTTTTGTTTTTATTTCATAAGCAAAACTTTCAACATAGAAACGTCTGGATATAACTCAGTTCTCTATGAAACCATGCTCAGAGAAAAACGCATCAACAAATAATGCCCTTTTGAGACTTTTTGCAAAAGAAGCTGTAATAAATACAACTTTTAAATTGAATACTGTAATTTAAAAGCAATTGTTAAGTGTAAAAAAGTTGCAGCATTCCACTACAGAAAAATAAAATTATTTTATCAAGAAAGTTACAGTATTAGTGCTTTAGTGCCAATTCTAACTCTTGATAAAAAGATGCTCCCAAATATCGTCCTGTAGTGTCGTTTCCATTTATAACAATTTCCGATTAGACTGCTGGGTCAATGTTTGTATATTCCTATTGAGAGAAAACAGGAGAAATACAGTCTTCAAAAGAATTGTCGGTTCAAACATCTGAGCTAGAATTTTGTTTACACTCCAATTTTCAAAATATTTTAATTAATATATTACCACTTGTACTCAAGATCCCCACAAAGCTATATATATATATATAGCTATATATATATATATATATATATATATATATATGTATATTCCCAAAGACAGAAAGTAACAACAAAACACATCAAAGCAGCTATCAAATGGTGTCAGTAGGACAAAGAAAAATATATGGCACTCAATAGGCTAGTATTAGTAAGTTAATGAAAATAGCATTTTGCTACTTGGGTGAGTTTCACTGGGGACATCCCTGACAGAAAAATCAAGACTCTTAAACCTTAGTCCCTCAAAAACAGACCCCAATATGACACACACACAACCTTTATCTTTGTCATCATATGGCATCTAATTCTAAAACTATATGGACTCTTCTAGCTTGACTGCTAACAGCAGAGAAAGCTATTAGAGGGGTTAAAGCTTTCTTGCTTTTGGATGGTTACCTACATTGTACGAAGATGTATGGTTTCAATAAACACAGGAAAAGGAATTCACAATAACAATAAGACTACGACTTAACAAATGTGAATTCTATATTGTGATGCTATGCAAAATATTAAATTACCAACCACAAACTGGACACAGGACCATGCAATTAATAAAAGAGCAAAAATGGTAGAATGGCATGTTTTTCTGGGACATTAAAAAACTTATTAATACATATAGCCTTACCTTTTACTAGGATCTTATATTATTAAAACTGAAAGAAATTTAAAAGTTGATTTATTTTTTGGCACTTATATTCGTATGGAAATGTCTAATTCCAAACAAAAACAGTACTGATAGAAAATTTTTCTATTTTGATTAATGAAATGTTCAAAATACATACATATATATTTTTGTCAACATCATTCCTTTAAATAGAGCCAGAGTTCACTGTATCTTATTTCTTTACTCATTATATAGTATAAATAGCATTTACATTGATCTTCAAATATCTGCTGCCTACTAACAACTTTAAAAATAAACATTAACTGTAATAATTCTGAAAAACTCCTTAAACTGAAACATTTTGTTTGTAAAAATGTATAATTCTTCTGCATCACCTTTGCCCCTGACATGGCTTCTTCTACACTCACTCTCAGACTGATCCCGACATTCTTCCCATTATTTGAAAACCTATGTTAAGTAGAATGTTCAACTAGACATATGAGTACCACCCTCGTCGAGGTATTCATAACTTGACACTTGTGTCACTGCAAGTATTTCCTTGTTGGTCTTCCTCCATTTTGCCTCCTCCTGGAACCTGCCCACCAAGCCCTCAACCTCAGACAGAGTTTTCTCCTCCTCAGTCTAGGAAGACATCCTACTGCCACCACCTCATGTCCTTTCTTTTCTACCCAGATTTCCAGGTCCTCTATAATTTGCATACTCCTATCTCTATCCAACTCTACATTCTACTGACAAAAATGGATCTTTGGCTGTAGCTGCTTCTAAGTCCTGCTCTCCAAGACTCAGCTTCCAACTTCCCTCCTCGGTAAAGACAGTAGAAATCACAGTACTTAGCATACACTCCCTGACCATTTCTAACATCCTGATCTTTTCCACCTCTCTTCAGGCACTTCCACCTGTGGAAACAAGCTCTTCAAAAATATGGCTGTGCAGAAAAGAGTGAACATAGCATATCTGACCACTATCCTTTGAAAGGCCTGCTTATAAAGCTGGACTTTGGCTGGCATCTAAGAATTTTAGATTTCAGGAGGTTCTCACCATCGATGACTGCATGAATTGTGCAAACAACATGGTCTATGCTGAATATCTGCTTTCTAGCTCAGAATCTGGAATGGGGTATGTGCCTGGCGGGGGGTACCTACATGACCACCATTGAAGTCTCTAACGAGATTCCCTGCTTGGCAACATTTCACACGTGCCCCCAAAGAGCTCACTGTCTGGGGTCTCAGGCACATCCTATGTGACTCCACTGGGATGGGACTCTGGAAAACCTGTACCCACTGTCCTCTGAACTTTGTCTGTGCACCTCTCTGTGCTGATTGTGCTGTGCAGCACTCCGCTGAACATCACAGCTACCAGTGCCACCACAGGCTGCATCCTCTGATTCCTCCTAGTGAATCACTGAACCTGGGGTGGTTCTCAGGACCACTGACACAACTGCTGCTGTGCGCTAACTTTTTAGAGCTATATATGTGTATGTGTTTGTGTGTGTTGTGATTAGATTCCATTCAACAAGCATTTTAAAAGACAGACTGTATGAAAGGTAGTAGGGGGAGACATGACACTAATGAGGTTCCCTCTATCCTCAAGGAGTTGATCACCTATTTGGGGAAACAGAAAGGTAAGAAGCAACAGTTAGAGACCAAATGAAGCAAGAGCTAAAGAGGGGGCTTTCATAAGACTTTACAGTGGATCTTAAAAGGAAAGAGGGGGTTTAATAAGGAAAGAATGGGGATCTGGAGGCAATTTCTAGTCAAGAAAACGGCATGAAGATAAAAATACATGAAACATATTATGCTCCAAAAAACAGAGGGCACATGGGAAAATGTGGTTAGAAGGGCAGCTTAGACCTGGACCTGGCTAACAAGTCTGGTCTCTTTAATAGGCAACAGAATCCTTGGAAGATGTTTGCACAAGAGTGATATGACTCGGACTGTGTTTTGGGACAATTAACTGTGTTACTAGCAAAGGGACAGAATAAACAAATCACAGGAGGCAAGCAAGCAAGTTAGAGGCTCCAAAGATTCCTCGAAAAGCCCTGGAATACCTAAGAATGCAACACACAGCAAAGGTGGCATTTCCAGTTGGGGAGGGGGGAGGACAAATTACTCAATAAGCAGTGTTAGAAAAACTGACTATCCATTGGGAAAAAAAGTAGATCCTGACCTTATATTGTTTCATAAAAACAAATTCTAAAAGGAACAAGTATTTATATATTGAAAAAATTAACCATAAAATTACTTAAAGGAAACACAGTAAGGTATTTTTATAAGCACAAACATGATACGAAATCTAAAAGCCATACAGGATTAACCCGACAAGACGCATGAAAATTTACCAGGTCGGTAATGTAAAAGCCACCATAAAAGCTGACAAACATAAAATAAATAGCAGCAAAATGCATGACAGGTTAATGCCCTCAGTAAATCAAAAGCTCCCACAAAGCAGTAAGAAAAAGTACCAACCCTCAACAGAAACACTGGTAGAGATTAGAAATAAGGAAACTAAGGGAAGAAATACAAATGACCAATAACACATAAAAAATATGCTCACATCATTAGTAACTGAAGAAAGGCATATGAGAACTATTTTCTGCTATTAGACTGACAACGGGTAATAGAGATTAATAATGTGGAGTGCTGGCTAGGCATAGGTAAACAGGCCCTTTCATGTGCTTCTGATGAAAACAAAAATAAGGCAAAATGAAGCCATGGCAAGATACCAAAATGTCAATGTGCTCAATTGCTTTACAGAAATAAAGAAAACCTGTAAACTATCCCTAGGTCATCAACAGCAACATTACATCCTGCGCCTGCAATGCAGGAGACCTGGGTTCGATTCCTGGGTGGGGATGATTCCCTGGAGAAGAAATCAGCTACCCACTCCAGTATCCTTGCCTGGAGAATTCCATGTGACTGTATAGTCCACGGGGTCACAAAGAGTCGGACATGACTGACTTTAACTTTTTTAAGTCATCAACAGAGGCATGGTTAAGTAAGTCAGCAATCATCAAACTGGGGTAACACATACTCTTAGGGGTATATGACAATTTTCCAGAGTGTATGTGGATACAGACAGTTTGGAGGGGATTAATTTCCAGACCTTCAAATGCTCAATGCTTGCTTTACAAAGTTAATCTGCCTGTACAATTGGTTAAGGCTGATTCCCTTCCTTTTTATACTAGAAAGATACACCTTCTTATCCTGAATCTTAGTACTTCGCATTACCTGGGGCCCCTCCCCCCAAAAAGGGGCGCCTGGAAATACTGGTGATGGTGTCAAGAAAGTGAATCAACCCTAGTAGCTAGTAATAAAGATCATACTTCTGCAAGTCAGATACTTTCCATTTCTTTGCCTTAGTTTAATTGTAGGAGGACAAAATCAACTTGTCAGTAAAAGAATATTCAAATACTTTTTGATAACAGATCACTAAGTGATTTTCTGGCCTATAATTCAGAGTGAATTCAAAGAACTGAGTGGCACTGCTATAATAAAAGTCCTTTCATTTCCATCTATATAATCCTATAAACAAGGTTTCTCTGGACTTATATCTACAAAAAGAAAAAATACATTAGAATCGATAATTGAACAATATTATCCTATACATTCTCTAGTAATACGTAATATTTATCTATGAACACAAACTAATTGAAAAGAGAAATGCACTTCCAATAAAACTTTCGTTTAATCACTACTTAACAAAATCTGTAATATATTTATAATATTGTGATCAGCTGTAATGTTAATTCAATCCAACCTAATAGTCATAGAAATCTATTAATATTATCTGTCAAATTTTATTTGGTGAGCACTAAAAGACTCTCAAAGATAAAAGTCTATGGGGCAAATGGGATCCAAATTCAAGGTAAAAAAAAAGGAATGATGTAGTATTTCTCACTTGTTAAAAGAGCCTGCCTGCATATTTTAAAAAATGGATGCTAGTTATCAAATTCCTGTGGTGTGCAGGTTCACCGAAGAGATTTAAAATGATGATGTAACAATTTTACTTAAGATTCTCTATTTATAATATGCCATAAATTATATCCTATATAACAAATTAAAATTATGATAAAAAAGTTTTAGATACCAACCTAAATATGTACAGGGAGGTAGATAATTTTTTTTACTTTTAGGGTATGTAAGCAAAAGAAGTTTGAAAAACACTGAAATAAATAAGACATCCACAGAAGGGAATGACATGCAGTGAATTGGAGCAATAGATGAGTTAAACAAATAGGAACACCTGGGACAACTGTAGTCAAAGAATTAGGAGGGTGAGGAGGACAAGTCTCTAGCCTGGCTGGCTAGCTGTGAGAGCTACAGACCCTGAGGAAAAATCAGTGGTCTTGGGAGAAGAGCAAATGTGATTTTACTTTTAACACCTTGAGATATAATTCACATAACATACAGTTCACCCATTTAAAAATACAATCAATGGTTTTTAGTGTATTCACAGAGTTGTGCAACCATCACAATCATTACTTCTTTTGTGCCCCAGCATCCTTCAACTCAAGGGATACAGCAGGAGCATAATAGGTTCTTGTTGATTCATCTGATCTTGGTTCCTGCTCTATCTTTGTACCTCATGACCCCTGTGGTTTTTTTCCAACCCCAAAAGCCATGAATCCTGGCCTCTAGCTTCCTCCCCACAGTGTTTCTTTTTGCTCTCTCCTTCCCCTCTTCCTATCCACATTCGGAAGAGCTCTGGTAGGCACTGAGCTGACAGGTACCTGGGGATGCCTGGAGTTTAGGACACTGAGGAGCTGCATGTTTTCCTCACCAAATGCAGTTTTTCAGAGGCAAAGTTCCCAGAGGGGGCTTCATGAATTCTGAATAGCTTCTCCGTCCTAGTCTGGTACATAGTCAGACAGACCCTCAAGAGTTTCTGGAAACTTTCTATGATGAGCAGAGAATATTTCATGGGGGCACTTATGAATGACAGTGGATAGAAGTCTCTTTCCAGGGGGTAACAGACACTTCTCCTACCTCCTTATCTTCTAGCCCAAGCACAGAATCCAAGACAAAGGAAACATAATAAAATGGAATTTGGGTGCCAGAATTGGGTTAATATGACAAGTGCATGATGAATGAGGAGGAAGCATTTTAGTTTTGCATGTTCCTAACACTGCCTTGGAATCTTACTACTCTGTAGGCAGCTAAGAAGCTAAAGTAGTTTTAGGGAAGCCATGACAGTTCTGGTAAATGGACAAAATATATTAGGAGTACATCAAGGATCTCCCCTACTCCTCCTTGAAGCTGTTTGGTACTGGACACAAGAAGCACATGTCTGATGGCACAGTAACCAGACTGTATTACAGATGAACATAAGAACGTCAAGCTATGAATGATAAGCCTCGACAATTCAACATGGTCGGAGAGTGAGGAATCCAGACAAGATCACTGTAAACCTTCCTGGTGGACTTTGAGGCATATGCAAATACACTGGTTCATATCAAATTTCAGAATCAATAAGCTCCAGGACACCTAGATTAATTAATTAACCAAGCATCCTTAATCTAGCTGGTGGTCTAATAATGAAAATAATGAACTCCTTAGCAGGGCAAAAAAGCCAAAGCAGGGTACAGATGCTGCCTGGACTAAGGTTTCTCTCCAGGGCAGGAGCATCAATATCCACCCCCACCCCGCCCACCCCCAATGCTAAAGCTTGGTATGAAGCAACACTGGAAGAAACCAAAGACTCCAGGACTTCACTTCTTTTCTTTAGGGCATGAAAGTCAAGGTAAAATGGAGGACTAGGTCTAAACTACCAGTTGGTACTATGCAATGGGATTCCAGAGTAGCACAATACTACTAGGACATCTCTAAGGCGAAGTTAGTCTTAAGTACCTTAGTTCAGACCCTGACAGAAACAGAGCAGTTTGTGATGCCTCATTCCTTTCCCTAAAGTTCAGGAGAGTGTGGAGCCCAACTGTCAAGAAGGGTGCTAATAGTAGGGTGCTTGATTTCATGCCATGCTCAGAGAGGTAGACCTAAGTTCAAACAAAAATCTATACAAAGTCTGGCTATGACTTGCAGGCATTGACAGTAGCCATGCTGGAAAAGCTCATGTCAAAGTAGCTACTACACAAACATCTTTGAAGTAGTATCCAGAATGGCAGGCCCAAGAAAAAGAGTAGTAGACACTGTTTTATTTAAAAAATCTAGTGTATGGGGACAACTTCTAAAGCACTCAGTTGGCAGTGAAATGCAAGAAGGTGAAGCCACGATCTGCCTGGGACCCTAACTACAACTGCTATATCCTAGATAATACAAAAAGCCTAAGCCCTAAAGACTGGAGACCCATAGCAGGTTGTGGCTCTTTCCAGGACAAACTTGTTATGTCCTAAGATGAAGGTTTGATGTCTGGTTTCTACAGGCTGTTAAGTGAAGCTGGCAGGCAATGTGGTCTGGAAGAACAGGGTGGCCAGCAGGAGTGAAACAAGCTGAGGCAAAGAAAAGGATGAGGAAATTGGGCAAGTTCACTGAGCATACAGATACTGCAGGCTGAGGCAAACAGTCAAGTGAGCACTCAGGAGCCCAAAATCATCTAAAAAACACAGGTAAAAATGGAGCTAAGTGAAGCTAACACTCAAAGTTCTGCACAGAGCTAACAAAAGACAAACATGCTATGTACATGAAACCCAACCTTGCAATTGAGGAAAAGGCTTGCCTCAGCCTTCCTTCTCGAGTGGGGATCAATGACCAGCTTCCCTGAGAACAGCCAGGCTGCCACCTTTGACTGGGGACGCATGCCTAGAAGATCTGCTGCAAAGAAACTTGTCACATGAGACAGGAAGAGAAGCAGCACCTTGATCCAACATATGGAAGTGTATGAGAGGGGAAAATGGCTTCAGTCACTCTCCCATTTTTAAACAAGAGACAGCTTTCATAACACTAAGAGTGATAGACACAGTGAAATTAAAAACCTCTTTTAAGGTAGTCAGTTAAAATTGAAAGGTGGGAGAAGTTACAGAAGATACTATTCAACTGGAAAACTTCAATAAAAAAATCAACTGCTAACTCCATTCTACTGGTCTACTTATTTTGAAAAATAAGTTTTACTAAAATCACTAAGTAAGCTCAGTGTAAAGGCTTTATCAGCATGAATATTTATGGGAACACTGAAGGTTAGAAAATTTATAAAGCTACAACTACATTATTTGATAGTAACATTAGATATATATCTACTTCTCAAAAGAAAATATTAGCCCCAAATTATTAACAAAAATGAGTCAAAAATTGACAAACACACCTCACATAACAGTAAATGCTACTGTTCTCATTTCAAATATTTGCAAAAGTTATTTTTATATAGTTATGCTGCATTTTCAAATGCCAACATGGCCAAGTATAAATAAAATCAATCCACAACTAAAGAGTACACAATCCAAATTATCAAGTAGTAAAACTTTTTATTAATAGTAAGAGTTAGCATATAGTAATGATGGTTGCACAGTGCTGTGAATATAAGTAGTGCCACTGAATTGTATAAAAATGGTTAAAATGGCAAATTTTGTTATATGTATTTTATCACAAAAAATGAATGGGGAAAAAAGAAAAGTTAGTGTATTTTGTAATTATGTGCCATTTTTATGTAGTCAATTCAGTATTTTTTGGTACCTAGAAAATTCACATTGTATTAGGTTAAAATGTATCAGATACTAAGTCTTTACCCAAATTTCCATTTCAAAGATTAACCATAGGACAGAAATTCTGAAGTAAACTGTTCAAACAGCTGGCATATTTAAAGTATTTGAGGTATAACAGCTAAGGCATTTTAAAATTAAGTGGTCTCACAAATCTATTACCATTATTCCTTTAAATTTTTCTTCACCTATCATGCAATAAAAACTTTGATATGTAGGCTGCTTCTTAGGTCAAAATTTAATTTAAAAAACTGAATTTATCTATTAAACATAGATACTTTAGGAGTTCTAAAGTCACTCAACATTTTTAAATGATAATAATCCAACTAACCTTTTTTTCCCTCAGTAATCTTTCTCTGAATTTATTAGTGATAAATCCCCTTGGACCAGCGAACCGTAAACGCTGATATTTAGCCTGAATGTACAAGCTCTTCTGTACTAGGTCTGATTTATGTTGGAAATGAAATCTGCCACCTCTAAAGTTGGTCTGTAAAGGAAAAAAATAATTAAATGTTAAAACTACAGCTTCCAAATCTACTTTATAAGAAAGGAAAAAAGGTCTGGAACTTAGGGCTGCCCTTAATTCTAGATATTACAGGTATTTAAAGGGAAAAGGTTAATGATGGTAATAAAGTATGTTTTCCTCAAATTAGCTTCTTAGTTCATTTTGCAGTAATAATTTTTAAAATATTTTATATAAAATGAATTTTTTAAACTACTAAGTTAAATTTTTTAACTCTTGAAATTTACCATACTAAGAAAAACACAACTTTAAAAATTTCAGAATTATTGTTCTGATTCATAGTGAAATATATCAAATCCCAAATGGAAGGAGGAAGACATTAAGTATCAATCTATTTGAGAATCAAAAACTCTCTTAACTTTATCCTTGTCAGTAGTTTTGAGTCAGTCTTTCTTTACCATAAAAATCCCACTACTGCACATATTTCCAAGATAAGAGCTATACTTAACAAGACATTTCCTGGCCTGTATACTGTCCAGTATTACAACAGACATAGAGGACAATGAGTATTTGTATGTCCCATGTGGGAAATATACAACTGGTATCTTACAAAGGAGTAATTTTTAAAATTAAGTAGATTCTTCTTTCTACGATAATTTCACAAATGGGTACATTATGCATAATGAAGAAGAGTTTATTACAAAGTATTTATGCCAGGCCTATTATTTTCTTAAGGCTACAAACAATTTCAGGTAAAACAGAATTATAACTTGATACATCAGAACTAATCTTGTGATTTACATTCCCATTTTTACATATCTAATAAGGTGATTACTATCTGACTTTGAATTAGTCCAATTTATGTAAAAAGTAAATTTTAATGAAATAGCTCCTTTTCTTAGGAAGGATTATTTCATCTCCTTTTAATGTTAAAGGATTTTCCCTTAAGGAGAATGGATAACAGGAAATAGATCTTACAAGTCTTAGAAGAATTACTACAATCAAGTACATATAACCAATGAGAAGTGCAACATGTAGGAAACACTTAAATCTGAAAGTCTTCCTACACTGTCTCTGAGTTATGCAGACATTACATTTTTAGTTTTATACCTCATTGCTCAAGAGATTAGATGATGATATGAAACATGTTTAAATATTCTATGGCCCTAACCATTATCTTTTAATATTTATTTATTTGGCTGTGCTGGGTCTCAGTCGCAGCATACGGGATCTTCACTCTTCATTGCTGGCAAGCAGGTTCTTTTAATTATGGCATGTGGGATCTTTTTAGTTGCAGCATGTGGAATCTTTAGTTGTGGCATGAGAACTCTTAGTTGCAGCATGTGGGATCTAGGTCCCTGACCAGGGATTAAACCCAGGTCCCCTGCATTGGGAGCGTGGAGTCTTAGCCACTGGGCCACCAGTGAAGTCCCCTATTTTTTATTTTTGAAAACCTAATGTCACACATGCTTTTAGGTACATGAAACATTAGTTAAAAATTTTATCTAGGCAATGGCTACAAATTGTGTTACTCCCACCGAAAAAAATCTTTTGACATCTAGAAATTTTGACTTAGGAAGCCAAGGTATTAATAGAAGATCACTCAAGTACACTCCTAGTCTATGGTCTGGAGATCATTTACACTACCTTTCTGGTCATACTAACTTCCTCCTAGTGAACCAACTGCTCTAGCCAAACTGCCTGCTACTTTCACCAAAAAAACCTCAGGTTCTTTTCTGTTTTAGGGGAGGGGAAAGAGACACTGTTGAGTGGAAAAATATGAAAAAAGGATTTATCATAGGTAGGAAATTCAGTCAAAATTGATTTTAAAAGCACCCCAACTTCTGAGAGCAAGGAGAGAAATATAATACGTTGCACTGTAATTCTTATTCTATGTTTGCAGCATGAATTGTTTTAGAAAAACAAACACGTCAGTTGATTAAAGGTAACACTGACATCAGACATAGCTGTACAAGTAATCGTAATGCAATGAAATATGTTTTAACAAAGCATGTGGGACCAGAGACTTTCTCTGATGATCTGGAAGACCTGTGAGGGTTGTGTGTCTAAGGGCAGGGTTTCTTAATTGGTGAATCCTGGAGAAGGTTCTATAACTATGTGATTACATCTTAGAGGTAAAGAGGCAGGATCTTGTCTGCCTCTCCACCTAGAGCCACTCCCATCTAGATCTGTTTTATGTATTTGAGTTTCCATGTAATATTTGAAAAAGGGTTCCACTAGTAAAATATATTTGAAAATCAAATTCTGAGGAAAGGGGTCATCATTAAACTGATTACATTTAACTATAATCCAGAAATACTAAAGCTATTACTTCAAACATCACATAAAGAGCTTTTAATTTACTAACACTTAGAACATTATGTTCTAAAGCAAAAACCTAAAGCAGGAATTAGATGGAAAATAGCACTCTACCTTAAAAGGTCTTCTAAAGCCTCTTGTATTTTGATGGCTTTCCTCACCTTCAAATGGTCTGTGAGTAATATCTTTTCTCTGCACAGGATAAATCTGCATGAAAAAAGTTATTAGTATGGGTTAATATATTTTAAATTTTATTTTTAAAAGTTCAACATTCAAAAAATACACAAATTTTTTTTTTGACTGTGCCTCATGGCATGTGGGATCTTAGTTCCCTGACCAGGGATCAAACCCGCATCCCCCTACAATGGAAGTGCAGTCTTAATCACTGGACACCCAGGAAGGTCCCCCAAAATATACATTTTAAATGCATGGGATTAAGAACACAAAATATATAGCATGTAGCTTAGCTGACGAACATACACACATCTTCCTTCATGTAACCTATGCTAGTTTGTGAAGGGCTAGTTCAATTCATGAATGTGAGAAGCGTTAACAAAATACACACTTTTGCATTAACACAGTCTGTGACTTTTAGAAAATGGGACTGTAAATCTAGTATTTACTCAAGGCATCCAGAAGAGAAACAAACTCATTATTACTAGGAATTGCTAGAGTTCCCACTGACCGAGAACATAAATTCTCAATGCTGTAGGAGGCAGGTGTTGCTGATTCATACTCCTGCTTTAATTAGATGCTCCTGCCATGACTAAGAAAGTATCAGAAAGCAGTGTGTGTGTGTGTGTGTGATTTTTATATTCTCTATTTTTCCACTTATTACCTATCAATACATTTTTTGTTTTATTTTAGGAGTTGCTTTAATGTTTATAGCTGTTGTTTAGTCGCTGAGTCGTGTCTCTTCCACAACGCCATGGACTGTAGCCCACCAGACTCCTCTGTTCATGGGAATTCCCAGGCAAGAATACTAGAGTGGTTGTTGCCATTTCCTTCTCCAGAAGGCAGAGTATTAAGACTGTAACTACAAAGAACCTGAAGCCTTTGATGGTAACACAGAAGATGGGCCCATTCTGAAGATGGGTTTCTTTTTCCAAAATCAATAGTCATAACTTTCTATTTATTCCATTTGCTATGGAATCTACTTTTCACAAATTTTCCTCGTTCACATCTTTATTTCTCTCCCCAGTTCAAGAAAAGTCATATAAAATCCTTTTCCTAGTAGTCATCTTGAGTTTATACTAAGTCTATATATTTGAATAAGTGCAAAAAGACACATGTAATGAGATGAGACTGCAGGGGACCTTGAGAGGGAGGAGGTGTATTCTGTACATGAAGGGGCCAGTGGGAAGACTATACCAGGCGGCTTCTGATGAGGCTCCAAATCATCCCCACAGTCCAGTATCCAGGCCCCTATGTTACTGCCTTTGAATGTGGGCTCTATCTAGTGACTTGCTTCTTACAAATTGAGTATGGTCGAAGTGATGGGATATCACTTCTGAGATTAGGTTACAAATAGACACTGCTTCCATCTTTCTAGCTGTCACCTGCCTGCTCTTATGGAAGGCAGATGCCATTCTGTGAGCTGTCCTTTGAAAAGGCAAATCTTTAAAAACAGAAAGTAGATTAGTTGTTAGCTGAGGGTGGGAACAAGGAATAAACAGGCTTGAGGGATCTAATAAGGGTGATGAAAATGTTCTAAAACTGGATTATGGTGATGGCACACATCTTGGTAAATTAATAGAAGATCATTAAATTGTATGCCTTCCCTGGGTGAATTTTATGGTATGTAAAATAAGCCTTAATAAAGTTGTTTCAAAAAATTTAAGAAACCTAGTTGTATAATACATGCAGTAAAATCCTGCTAAATCAAATGAGATGATCATTTATTCGGTCATAACTATAAGCCTTAACAGAATCTTAACACTGAACAACAGAATCATAATACTTATTAATGAACAATTACAAACATGAAAAACATTGGTGGTCCATGTACCTAAAGATACATGTGAGAAGGAAAATGGAACATACAAAAATAAAAAAGTTGGGAATACAATCTTACTGAGTAAGGTTTCTGAATAAATTTTCTAAAATTTGATTTTTCAATAGATGTAGGTTTTTGGAATCCATCAACATGAGTATCCTTTGACCTTGAAAAACTGGAATGCTGATCACTCCTAATAAAATGAAAGAGAAAATAAGAATCTTTTATTAGTTTTTGTTTATCCAACAAATAAGCAAGAGAAATCAAATTACACCCTTCGGAAACAAACCCGCATGACAGCAGAAAACAACAACAAAACACTCAATTATCTATCGCTACTAAAATTACAAATAATAGTTACGAGGGCTAAAACCCTCATTTCCTCATTTTTCTATGAACGTTAGTTAGCCAAATTGGAAGTTAGCAACAGGGGAAAATAGTATTCTGAGGACCAGGGTTCTTAATCTGGAATCCACGACAGGCTTCCTAGGGCTGTAACTCTTGAAATCATACACAGACTGTATATTTTCTGAGGGAAGATAGCCATGGCTCTTGAGCCTTTGGCAGCACTGGACAGCCCCCCCCGGGCCAACAGACTCAGTGGCTAAAGTTCCAGAGAAGAGACGGGTGAGCAACTTGGGCCTTCTCACTGGTAGAGCTGGGGCCTCTGTACTCTGGCTCCCCTCTCCTTAAGTGAGTTCTGGAGGCTCCCAAGGGTTATTCCTGACCAGCTCTACCCCGGAGGGAGGTCCTTCCCTGGCTTCTCCTCTGACCCCTGGCCTCATTCCCAGAGCCCTCGAGGGGTTCTCTTTCTGTCACATCCCGCCTCTCCCACAGTGCTCCTCAGACCCTTCCTGCTCTGTGGCAAACAGCTCACAGCTTTGGCCTCACTGCAGCTTTGCTACAGGACCCCACTGACACAAGGACAAAATCCACACTCCCCCTCACTGACCACCAAGGCCCTTCTGGTCACACCCTTAGCGCCTTGGCCAGCTGCTTCATCCTAATCTCCCCAACACCCAAACCAAGCTGTGGGAACATCAGCTCCACGCAGCCCCTGGAACACACCACAAAATCGTCTGCCTCTACACGCTGGCCCATCCAGTTCCTCTGCTGCAATTTCCTTCCAACTCAGATCAAACTCAAGAGTGAGCCCCACTTGAACCTGTTCCAAGAAGGCTTTTCCAGTCCCCTCTGTGGTGGACTAGGTGCCCCTGCTCTGTGCACATATAGCATTTTGGGGTCTTCACAAGTATCACATGCATTTGTAACTACTGGTGTGCCTTCTCACCAAGCAAGGTACAATTTCTTCAGAGGAGACACTGCCAATAGCTTGTTTTATAGTCCCAGCTCTGATCCTGGAACCTGACATGAAATAGCCACATAGGATTTTTCAAAATGTCAAGAAACCTTTTATTCTGTCAAAATGCTCATGATATGATAATAAGTCAAAAAGAACAAGGGGCAAAATAAAATACTGAGGATAATTTCACTTATTTAAAATATACACATATATGCCCAGAAAAAAATGACAGGAAATGTACTAAATATTAACAGTAATCATACCTGTACTACTACTACTTTAAACAAAACAATGGACTTTAAAAAATCCTCTTTACAAAGCATGTATCTGATAAAGGGGTAGTATCCAGAATATAAAAAGAATTTACTCCTCAATAATAAAAATATGATAATCTAGTTTAGAGATGGGCAAAGGATTTGAATAGATATTTCTTCAAAGAAGACACACACAAAAGCACGTGAAAAAAATGTGTGACAACATTAGTCATCAGGGAAATGCAAGTCGAAACTACAAGTAACTATCTAAAACCCACTAGGATGGCTATAATCAAAAATATGATAATACCAGTCTTCACAGCAGCATGGTTTACAATAGCCAAAAGACAGACACATGTTCTTCAAAAAATAAACAAAATGTGGCATATCCATACAATGGAATATTATCCAGCCTTATAAAGGAATAAATTATTTTAATGAAATACTGGCACATGATACAACATGGATGAAAACATTATGCCATGTGAAATAAGTCAGACTGAAAGGGAAAATTATTGCATGATTCTATTTATGTATGTATGGACTATTCAAAATAGGCACATTCATAGTGATGTCAATATAGGCATGAGGGGCTAGGAGTAAGGGGAATACGGTGTCACTGTTCAATTTGTATTGAGTTTCTGTTTGAGAAGATTAAAAAGTTCTGGAAGTGTTGGCTGCTGCACAACACTGTGAATGTACTTAATTCCAATGAATCTTATACTTAAAACAGTCAAAATTCAGTGTTCTAAGTCAGTGCTCAGAACAGTGACTAGAACAGACATTAATATATAAATATTTGTTGAATATATGAATAAAAGATCTTTACAAAGTTAACTCTAGTTCAGTAGATACAGATTGTTACAATAGCAAAAATAAAAACTGATGTATTCTAAAACCTGCCTAGATAAAAAGAAAATCTAGGCAGTTTGATGTTCTCATGAAGTCTACCTGATAGTATTTTGAATCTGCTTTATCACACACATACCACGCCCCTCTAACACAGCACCTCAGTGACACTATAGGGAACTTATTAATGCTGTTGACAAGTGGGAGAAATAGTGTGTAAGGAGGAGACATAGAGACTTTAGGGTAAGAAGCCAGTTGGAAGTAGGAAAAGACAGAGAACAGCAGGGTCTTAGAGATGAGACAGAATGCCCTGGTGTGAAAGATTTGCTTGCTTGGGAAAGATTTTAAGGTATCAGGGAATAAAAAGTGATCCAGATCTAAATGCATTATGATTTCAGTGTCTCTGTCCTGTCTACACCTTTGGAAAATCTTTTCATTCAACAAATATGAACTGAGCCCAAGGCAGTGGGGATACAGTGGTGAGCAAACACAGACACAGAGCCTACATACAACTTTTAAGGGAAAAAAAATTGCATAGGAGAGAAACAGTTATATCCTATGACTTATAATTTTGTAATATTTCATTTCTTCTGAATTTCTATGGAAATCTATACACTGACTTGATTAAAAAGGTTTATGCAAAAATATTAGTGAGGTCAATTTCAATAAACTGAATTTCTATAAAAGGATAAAATAAAAACTTTTTCTTATGTTAACAAGGAAACTGAATTAGGAAAAAGTGAGAGATTAAAGGTTCTATATTATCTTATTTAAAAGATGAACAATAACAGCTGCTGGTGAGGATGTGTTGAAAATGGAACCCTCACACCTTGATAGTGAGAATGTAAAATGGTGCACCCACTATGGAAACAGACTGGCAGTTCATCAAAAAGTTAAACACAGTAATGATATGAACCAGCAATTCCAATCCTAGGTATATACAGAAGTGAAAACCTATGTCCACACTAAAACTTGCATACAAATGTTCACAGCACCATAATTTACAAAAGTCAAAAAGTGGGAACAATCCAAATAACCATTAACCAGTGAATGGATAAACATGTGATGAATCCATACAATGGAACATTACTCAGCCAGAAAAGGATTATTTATGCTCAATGTGTGTGTGTGTGTGTGTGTGTGTTCAATCGCTTCAGTTGTGTCTGACACTTTTGTGACCCTATGGACTATAGCCTGCCAGGCTCCTCTGTTCATGGGATTCTCCAGGCAAGAATATTGGAGTGGGTTATCATGCCCTCCTCCAGGGGATTTTTCCAACCCAGGAATCAAACCTGCGGCTCCTGCATTGCAGGTGGATTCTTTACCACTGAGTCACCAGGGAAGTCCATGCTCAACATGGAGGAACAAAAAACATTGTACTACATGAAGGAAGCCAGTCACAAAAGGACACATATTATATAACTGCAATTTTGTCAAGAATAGGCAAATCCATACACACAGAAAGTAGATTAGCGGCTGTCAGGGGCTAGAAGGATAAAGAAATAGGGAGTGACAACTAATTGTACAGGGTTTCTTCTGGGGGTGATGAAAATGTTTTGAAATTAGATAGTGGTGACAGTTGCACAACTTTGTGATTATACTAAAAACTACTGAATTGTTCACTTTGAAAGGGTGACTTTTATGGTAAGTAATACCTAAAAAAAATCCTCATGGCTCCACCAAGACACACCAACCATCTAATACAAATAAAACAGCTCAACAGATCCAGCAAAACACATCTTGCCGGAAGACATTTTTGCACACAATGCTATCCTCAAAGCTAACATTAATAATACTTAATGCTGACTAGCTACTCTGCAGCTTACATGCATCACTTTACTTAATCTTCACCACCACCATGAGGTAAGTATAATTCTTATCTCTATTTTACAGTTGAAGAAAATAGAGATTAAGTAACTTGCCCAAGGTGAGTCACAGAGCTAGGTATCTACAGAGCCAGGTATTGAACTCAGGTCAAACTTCATTGCTCAAGTTCTTCATCACCTCAAAGGGTAAAGATATATTCTGAAGCCTCACATGGTCTTTATAATATGTTGATTATCTAAAATCTGTTTTAAAACCCTTTTTTCTTGGTACCCTGAGTTTCTTGCACTTGCCGAGTCAAGAAAAGCATGACAGAGCTTGTGTCACTAAGGGGCAGTCATGCCATGTCATATAGGAAACTGGAGATCACCCAACCAAGAGACAAGATTTTAAGTATTTTATTTTCAATTATTTCGTATGACTCAACACGCAGTTTTGCTATCTTTTAATTAATCCCAAACTTACTGTCAGAATCAATTCCAGTTTTAAACAAGCTCTAGTATCTTGACCTAGTTACCCACAGACATGACTTAAAAGTCTAGTCAAATATATTAATTTTTGAAACTAAGGACTATGGAAATAGAATTAGCATCAGCCTTTTCTATTCACACATTCCCATTTTCTGGGAGATCCAAATAACTTAAGGACCCTTGAGTGAACTGGAAATTCTGTCCTGTTCAATTACACCTCATAATCATATGGGGTCCCAGAGTTGCCAAGAGTTCTACATAGTTTTCAGAACTAGAGATTAGCTGCGACCACTCTAGAACACTCAGAAGCCCTAAAAAGAGGTACACAGTGGGGAATGAAAAACAAGGATCTACTGACAGTCAATTTGCCACTCATGGCATTAAGTACATCACATGTGTCAGTTCATGTGATATTTATAACCTGTCCAACATAAATTGGTTATTCTGACTTTATAGAGGAAAAGGCTCCAAAAACTAAGCAAGTTTGCCCAAGAGCAAACAGTTTATAAACTGGCAGAGGTAGGATTCAAACCCAGGTCTCCTCTGCATTATCTACTACACCTGCCTCTGCTTCATGGACAGACATCCATGAAGAGTTCTGAAAGAGGATAGCAATAACCTCAGGAAATCTTGCAATATTCAAAGAATATCAGAATCTAAAAGGCAGAATGTGTCAGAGTTTCAATCAGCTTGAGCCAAATAGTCCATATATTTGCTGGTATTTGCTCTGCTAATATTAAAAAAGCTATTACACTTCTCTCTAGATCACAAAGACCTCAAATACTACCTACCCCATAATTTTTATTGTTTCAGTGAAACAGCACATGATGACCACTGAATAACTTTGAAACATTTTAATAAACAAATGACATGGATTTGAAGGATTAAATCCCTACACTAAAGTGAAAATTACCATCACACACACAAAATTGGAAAATATGCTAAAACCAAAAGCTCTCTGATAAGAGGATGTTTTTCATCTACTGATTACCTCTCTGCAGCACTAGCTATGTGAAAAATGTGCTCATCTTCATTCTGTAACCGTTCTTTTCTCCTTCTTTCAATGTCATGTCGTAGGTCATTTGGATCTATTATTTTGACCAGAGTCTGAGGAATTTTGACAGAAGACAAACCATTCACATTACTGTTAGTTGCACAAAGACTGTATTGAACAAGAACCTTAAGTTAAAGTCCTAAATAAGTTATCTTGCACTCATCTTGTTAATGGTAGTGTAAACTGATAGAAGTATTTTGAGACAATTGACAAAACACAGTCAGAAGAGTTCATAACACTGAACCAGGAATCCGACTTCTGGGCCTCTATGCCAAAGAAAAGTCTATCTATCCAAGTATATTCAAAATGTTTTATTAGAAAAATAACCAAAAAAATGAAAGCAACTTAAGTGTGAAAAAATTTTAAAGGAGAAGGGAAGAAAAATTTATGGTAAATTTAAGTCATAGGAATAATGTACAACCACTTAAAATTATGATGATATAGACTATGTGGAAGTAAACATGGAAAAACACTGAAAACTTACTAAAACTTGCAAAGTCTCAATTATAAAAAGGTCATTGGGAGTTGAGAGATTTTACATAAAAGGAATGTTATTATAGCTTAAGTAAAAAGAAAAAGCATCCAAAATTGCATGTACTGTGACAGTGACTATGTTAAAATTCCAGACATAAGACTGCAAGACAATCAAATAATACTGTGTGATAAGTGAATTAAAGGTAATTTAAAAAATCCTCAAATTTCCTATAAGTTCATTATAGTATTTTAACAGAAATTTCCTGAAAATATCATTGATTCAGTAAACTAACCTAGCTCTGTAAATTCAGTAAAACTATAACCATTCACATGAAAAAAATTATATATTTTATCACAAATGTATTTATTAAAATCTCTCCTCTACAAAAACTCTTCACTCTCAATGAATAATTAGCAGGTTTTTTAGAACTTGATATACTTTTTCTAAAACAAGAGTCAGTTTTCTTCCCCCTTGGCTAGTTAAGATAGTTTTTCTAATTAGCAAAGAAATGAGGGTAGGGGGAGGTGGCAGCAGTGGGAACAAAAAAAAAGTATTATTTTCATTATTTTGTTAGTTCATATTTCATAGAATCTTTCATGTAATCTTCAGTAAACAGAAGGGCAGTATCGAATGAAACTAAGTTCCTTTATGCATTCCACATACAACTTAAAAATATATCCCACATGACTGCTTTGGAAAAAAAGGGTATCAAACATACTTTCTGCAAGATTTACAGTGTGAAGTTTTGGGATGAATATTAAACACTATAATTTTATGTCAATTTTACAAAGCTGTAAAATCCTTAGGGACTGTCTCTCTTAGGGAATATTTTTGTCTTTTGCCAGTGTTTTCTTTGCAACCTGGTTGAAAACTAGAATCACTTGAAGAGCTTTGTCAATTTCAGATTCCTGGGTCTCAATCATCCTTCCTCACCCACTTTACCTTTTTTACTCCCAATGACCAGTTCCCTTTCCCGTTAGTTTGTCAACAATAAGATAATCCCCCATCAAAAACCATATTCACTTACCTGTTTTGAGTCATATACCATAGTTTGTTTACTCTGAAGCTCGGCCAAAGACATATCTATTCTCCTAAAATAATAAAGGCATATTACAATTAAATAATTATGTTATACACTGATACCTCGATTCCATTAATACAGAATGGAATTTGAAATAAAGCTGGTGTGTCTTGAAGGAAGAAAAAGAAATCTGCTACCAGGTGGTTTTTCATCTATGTGGCAGTCTCCCAGGACACACATATCCTGTAAACAACATCACAGTGAAGCCTTAGTAGTTCTCAAATCACTAGTCTGTGTAACCTTAAACTTGGCTCCGGTGATCTACTGCATTCTAACATTGATTCAACTCAGCTCACAAGACAGGGTGCACCACCTGCTTGGACGGGTGCCAGCAGAAGAAGACATATGTTTTCATCCGGCTGCCCTCAGAACAGTCATTTCTGAGGACATGAAGCAACCCATGATTTCAATGGCTCGACAACTGTCTTTCATTCTTCCAGTGATAACTTCAGTAGGCAATTACTATAGACACAGCAGAATCAAAGTTAGGTAGGTAAATATTTTCAAAGTCCTACACATTTAAACAATGCTAGTCATGGCTTTAATAGAACCTAGTTTATCAAAGTGTACTGGCCTAGTACCTGTTTGGGTCAGTCCTATTTTAGGCAGGAAATGCTGTTCTAGAGTCTACAGTAAACCCAAGAGGCAGGCGGCATGTTCCCACATCTGTTCTGAGGCTTATTCCCATGAGTTATATGGGCGTACAATAATCAATCATTACCTGTGAATTTCTGGATCCGAGCTCAACTTAGTTGCCTTTACATCTGCAGCTTTTTTAACTTTAATTTTTGAGAAACGCTCATGCAGAGTTACTTCAGGTGATGGAAAATAATTTGCTGCAAAAGGAAACAAAACGTTTTATCTCAGTGTAAAACTGATTCCACTTAAAAGGTTATATATACAATAAGCACAGGAGTAATGGACTATTAAAACAAAAATCCAACCTGCTTTCTCTTAAAAATATGGGACCTAAACTCATTTCAGACTAATGTGTAGTGCTCACATGTTTTTCCAAACTCAAGCAACAGTAAATGGATTTATGAATGCAAAAATTCTGTTCCTATTTGGCATGCCTGCTTACTTGCCGGGGGGGGGGGAAATATTGGCTTTTTCAAAGAAAGGACCTTTCTTCTCCAAGGTAAGAGCTTCCTCACTGTTACTATACATGGGAAGTAAAGCTGGCATAGAGCTCTACAGTTCACTTAGAGCAAATATAATTCCCAAAACAACCCTAAAACATCAAAACAATTCTGAACAAATGCTAAATGCTATGGTTACATATCACAGAAGGCTTCCTAACACCATTTTACTTAATGTTAATGAGAGTTCATGAAGACATTCTCAAAGTGGCTATGCTACAAGCTTTGAACAGAATAGAGAGAAAGATAATACACTTGACCCATGAGAAAGCTACTTTAGCAATCCTTTTCCCTAATGTACTATTCCTGTTCTGGGACAATCTCCTGGGTTTTTCTGCAATACCAGCTTTCTTTTTGCAAAGGACCACACTTCCTTTGGGTGAGAGGGGCTGGAATTGAGAAGGTGAACTGTTTCAAACTGCATCCTTTAAAGTAAATATATGCCTTAGTTTGAGGGCTGCAGAGAAAATAATTCATTTGCAAAATGTTTTAAGAAGGTAAGAAAGATCAACACAATCATCTAGTAAGAAATATAAAATTAAAATTTTGAAATTCTTGAAAGACCCTAGCTTATAATACACAAAACTGCCTTAATTACACAGCATCAATAAAGAAAATTATTCTACATGACTAAATCTTCCAATTAATGGAAACTGGCCAGAAGCAAAAGCAAAACACAGCTCAATGAAAACCTTTAAAATATTTATTATGCAATTCCCTGACATCATAAAGTATAACAAATAATCCTGGAGTCTTTTACTGATCACTTAGCATCACCCATACGGCACAAAGTCCCAGTAACGCCCTTGGGGGCTTTAGGAATATGACCAAATGACCTACACTTCCAGATTTCTTGAGTTTCATATCTGGCTTTTGTTATTTCCTCCTTTCTACTGGGTTATCGGTTATTGTTTCTTTCTGCTCTCAGTACACCTGTCTTTTGCAGCAGCCAACCTCTTCTTTTATAATTTTCAATTTGCAATCTACTATGAGTTGAAGCACCAGCTTATTGGAACTACATAAAAAGAACAACTGGCTTGAATTAGTATGTGCTACTTTCTTCAACAGATTTCCTAATTAATGATCTAACTTATAATGAAATATTAATTACTATTACAATATCAGATATTTACCTATATCTCGTGAAAAGTCAGTACATTATTTTTGCGTTATCCCTAATGTATGTGCGAAATATACCAACCTTTAACTTGATGGATTATAGTTATGATTTGCTGAGCATATTCTCCTGTAGGTTTGTTTTCAGTATTCTGAGTTGAGTCAAGATGTTCAAACACTGGATGAAACTTTTCATTTTTCCTGCCAACAGCAACCAAATCATGTGACATCTGTCTCTCTTTGGAATAGCTAGAAGCAACCCTAGAATAATTTGTAAATGTTTAACTAAATTTGAGACTATTCACTGAGAAAATAACTTATTAAAATTAATCAAGATAACTATAAAACTAAAAATGTTTATTTTTTCTTATAATTAAGGCACTAAATTGTATGCCATAAACATGTACAATAATGAGTAGGAGAAAATAGCTATAGTAGGCACAAAGTTTTGAGTTCTCTTTTTCAAATCAGAGATCATCAAATATTTGCCACTTTAATAATAAAATCTTCAAAATTCTAAGCTAAACAATTTTTACTTTAAAAAATACAGCATGGCATTGAAGACACTCAATATGCAAAATATAATCAGATTATTTTCTACTCCCAAATGTCCATAAAACTATAAAGCCAGCAAGCTGACACTATCTTGAAATACTACCATTCTTTACAAGCTGATATCAAACAATAATATTTCTGACTTCATAAAAATCCTTAAAGCTCTATGTCAGTAATGAGCTGAGACTAGTATTTTGAAATCAAATTCTGTTTAGCTTAATCACTTACAAAGTCTCACTGAACTCTCAGAAAATAGCCTTAGTTGTTAGCAAAGTTATGATCATGAGAAGCAAATGATACTGTTCACCCTAAATATATCTTATCATTTATAATATACTATCATTTATAATATAACTATAAATTATAATATAACCCCAACCATCTTACCATTTTAATACTTTCTGAATCTTTATAACTTTCATTAAGCACTTTCCTGACCTTCAAGTACCATTATAAATTCATGATTATGACATATAACAACTATTCAGGCCAAACAAAGGGGCTCAGAGCTTACAAATATTAATATTTGCAAAACCTCTATGCAGAAAGTATCATGATATTGAGACAATAGATGTCATTTGTTTTGCTTTTCATCCCCGAGATTAAGCATTCATTTGAATGTAATCCTTCCAAATGTCATAATGGGAGAGTATACTTTATTCTAAGAATGCTACTCCTGCTTAAAACCACTCAAATTCTTCATCTGGAGGCAGTTTATGCGTCAGAGTAGAAAATGCCTCATTATTTATATTTATTCCTCATTTTGGACCCAAAACGGCACTAACCAGCTTATACCCATCTCACTCCTCTGCATTTAACTCTGAATAGCTTCTGGCTCTTCCTAAAAAATAAGTTCATTATCCAAAGAATTGAGATTTACAACTGCTAGGGTTCTTTATGATTATGTTTCAGAATCTGAAGATAAATCCAAAAGAGAGCCCTGAAATATGTTTTAAATAATAGCACCACTAAAAAAAATATCTCTTCATACAACAAAAATCAATCACATGGATACATTTGGGGCTGTGGGTGTACACATGCACATATTTATTTACTGATCGTCACTTAACAGCCATGCATCTAAAACTGCTCCAAGGTTATGAAGGGCTTAAAGATATTCTTAACTGAAAATTTTAACTCTTCTAGCAAGATGGTTTTAAGTGCTTATTTTTAACTTCTCAGAGGAAAACCTTCCATCTGATTTTTCATGCTCCCTCTTCAATCAGCCCTGTTGAGATGACTCCCTGCCACGGCAGAAACACTGATGAGTGACTACGCCACAGGTTGATGCCACTGCTGTGGTTTCCTTGACTCATCAGAAAGACTTTCTTCACAAGGCCCATTTCTCCTCCCAATTTGTTCCAAGCTTCTCATTCTATATCTGATAACTAGTAAAAGACATTCAGTGGTAAATGTTAGAAGCTAGAATGGTCCTGTAACAACCTCCACTAACAAAAGAATTACATATGCTTTCTGTTCAAAGGGGTTTAATGGTACAAAAAGCTCTTCCATACCCCCAAAACAGCTTTAAATTTTTTTTTACAGGAGAAAAATATGATGTTTAAATAGAACTATAAAAATGATCTATCTATATGGAGAAATCAGTTGATAATGGTTTTCATTGCAGTCTGTTTCCCCCAAGACGAAACCAGCTGATAAAGGCTTCCAGTTTTTCACCAGATAATTATTAAAATTTACTTCTTATAATTTATGATTACTGTCATAACTCTTATCTCCCCACTCCACATCCAACTCTCAATTCATAGGAATGCTGTGGTATACTTTGAAGCTGTACTTAATTCTTGATATTTTAGTGTTTAAACTCACCAGGTTAAAATTTTTCTCTAGAGATACCCCACAAGAGTTTTAATAAAAAATATAAGTGATCATCTTTCTAGAAAATATACATGAAAAGAATATAACCTGAAATTTTGTTTTTTAAAAATAACTATACTTTTGCTATAAGGAAAAACTTCTAGAGACTTCAAAATGCAAAATGTTCTAGGTAGTCTCATTTGTAAATTTAATCACCTCTTTGTTTATATTTTAGTATTTCCTATTACTGATCAACAAGTTTACAATTTCACAAAATACCCCCAAAACAAGTAGTTAAACTGGAAAGACCAAATGGTCTCTTTTGAGATGCATTTTAGACACTTTTAAAAATTAAAATATAGCCATCACCTGTATTCTATTAAATCTTCTGTGTTCTCTGTTCCCTCCCCCGACTTCACCCCGGTTTTCCTTCTCTGTTTAAGGATACTTCCCCTGATGTTCATCTGAGTGTTATGCATAACAACTAACAAAACATTTAAAAAAAAACCTACATTAAAACTTAATTTCCTCTTCTCCACAGTTAAAGAACCAACTGCCTAGCAAAACAAGAGTAACAAAAACCGAACCACCAAAACCAATGATAATCTCCTGCTCTCCAGAAGTTTATAATAGGTAACAAAATTCATATGACACATATAAAGTTTTCCTTTCTCAGTTTTATTCTAGCTAATAACTATCACAAAGCACTTTCCGAATTATAAGTTTGTTCTTGTCTTCCTAAGAACACATTTAGAATTTTTGGAGCTGAGGGAAATGGATTAGGGAGACTGCTACTCCCTTAATTCAACATCTCATAATTATTTTTTTCACAAAAGTCCCCTAACTGGCCTTGTCAACCTCAGTGCCTTTTCAAGACACCTGATAGAAGGTGGCCAAAACTGAGCCCTCTCCCAGCAGCGAATCCTGTTACATCAGGCTGGTGGTCTTACCTTCACATCTCCTGCCCTTCTATTTCCTTTCCCTAGACTGCTCAGAATGGCACAGCTCAAAGTTCCTGGGTGTGTTTTCTGCCTTTGTTAACCTATAAAAATAAAAGGTCTTTCATCTCATCTCCACATGTCTAAAACACATCAATCTTCAAAGCCTAGCTCACATGTCAACTCCTAAAAGAAGCCTTCCCTGAATCCCCCAGCTTGGGATCATCTGAATCACATATCACACACCACCTCACACATCACTCCACTGTGCCATGGTATTACCAACATTCTCTTCTTGCCTGTAAGACCAGGGGAGAAGAAACCTAATCCTATGTGGATCCATAGTCCCAGGGCACTTTAACAGACTGTCTCACAGGGTAGGTCCTCAAGAAATATCTGCTGAATAAAATGGAAAATGACTGGCACAAGATGAAATGGTGAGTTTCACCTTAAAAGATGACAGATTTCAAAATTCTGAGATGAATTTAATTTTGTTTTTTAACTTTCTTGGCTTCAAAATTTTTTAACTTAATTTAGATAAATTTAATTTTTTTCATTTTTTATAATAGAAAATCTCAAATACATTCAAAAGTTCAGCGAATCCTATGATGAGCCTGTCAAGTCAGCTTCAATAGTTATCAACATATGACCAACTGAAGCAGACTCACAGATCCAAGAGGAACACCCAGTTAATTTGGGCCCCAAAAGGCATAGCCAGGTGACCTGCCCAATGTTACAGAACTGCGCAGTGACCCACTGGAAGACAAAGACCTATATATCCCAACATCAAACAGAAAGTTTACCTCCCTATACTAGGAACCCCAAGAGGTACTAAGAGAAGACTGAGTGAAACATAGGAATGAAAGGGAATCTTTCCTCAATTAATTTTTGAGTTTAGAAAATGTATATGAGAAATATTAGAAGGAAAAAACTCTTAGATTAGAGTTTGCTAACTCAGCAAGTTAGCAGGTTTGTTTATCACAAAAGTATCCCTACCCAGCTTATTTTGCCTCCAGCTGAACAGTGCCCATCACAGGTAAGCTTGTGTGATTAGGTTACCTTCCTTCTATCCTAGCTGTGGTTTTTCACTCTTCCCCAGCCTAAGCAGCACCTGTTTGCTCAGAGCATCAGGGCTCCAGTGTCTTCTGGGGCTCATCATCCACCTCACTTCCCTTTTAGAATGGGGAAAAACTGGGTAGGGTCAGGGATGCCCTCTCTGTATCTCTTCACTGGGAAATAAAAGGATTAAATGCAAATATGGCTGAGGCAGTCAGTCCAATGTTGCCTTCACTAGCCAACCTTCTCATTCTAGATGCCTAGTGCCAGCACCTGGGAAGTCAAAGGAGCCTCAGTGCAGGCCCACCTGCCCCAGCTTACTCTTCTCTGGAGACTGGCATGCCCTCCTTCCCTCTTTTCACCACCTTCCTAGCCTGACCAAGGTTCAGTCTCTCATCTATTCTGTCCAATAGTAAACCCAAACTCCCTTCATCTACCCCATGACTTTCAGATGTCTGCAACAGTGAGTGTTTGGAGTTCATAATAACCTTAGTACAGATTTTCATATTGTGACGCTCTTAACTTTATTCTGAAACATACAATTATGACTCATATGTAACTTCTACCTCTGATAAGGTAGAAGTTTGCAGTTTCTGACAAAGTAGGTCACTAGAAGGTCACTAGGTCAACTAGGCTTCTATTTCTCAACATCAAATTATAAAATTAACAGTGTTCAGCATCTCTAATGAGGTCTACTAAAATAAAATCCTTCAAAATTGTGACTTCTATTGACTTTGTTGACAGAAGTATTAACTATGCACTGAACATTCAAGGAAGTGTGAGCTACTGCTATTCTAGATACAAACTAATACCTAGAAAAATCACTAGGTTTCAACTGCACTGATAACTGGAAGAAAATGTATTAAAACCTGACCCAAGCTAAGAAAGTAAATGAATGTATAAAGTGAACTGCCTTATTAGTATCTCCAAGAAAAGTGGATACTCTAGATTTTAACCAACAAATAACCTCTCTGCACTCTATGATTATTTCAGTCTTATTAAGCAGAAGAAAATCTAATTTATGTTAGGAGTTGAGAACATGGCTCTGTTGAGGGTATCAACTATCAATACCTTTGTTTTATGGACAATGCATCAGTCCACACACAACTAAATTCAACCCCACAAAATTCTCCCACAACTCATTCATCTGTTAAAAATCATAATCAAAGAGAAAGATTTTTGTTGATTATGATGCACTGCCATACTGAAAAGATGCATATATTTATTAAGAAAAATCACCAGGTGACAACCATATGTTTTCAACTGCACTGATAACTCAAAGAACATGTATTAAAACCTGACCCAAACTAAGAAAGGAAATGAATGCATAAAATGAATCACCATTTATACATTTTAAACAAATGTATAAAATGAAGAACCAAGAGTCTTCAAGTCTTTAGAAAGAAGTTACAGTGAAGCTCTTTATTACACAAACCATTCTATAGGTCCTTGTCAGGTAATTCAAACATGTACCGACAGGTCCCACTAATGGGCCATGAAATTCACAAAAGGACAGTTTACAAATTCAAAACAAAAGGTACAGCAGCCTCAATTTTAGGAAGCTCACTTTTGTGACACATGATGAAGATCAAGCTTCTATTTCTCAACATCAAGTTATAAAATTAACAGTGTTCAGCATCTCTAATGGGGTCTACTAACATAAAATCCTTCAAAATTGTTACTTCTAGCATTCTTTAAAAATGTGACAGCCAATTTATTAATTCTAATTTAAGTATAAAACATTTCATTAAATATTTAAAAATTCAAGATTTTAACTTTTATTTTTAAACTACTTTTACTATTATTTTAAAATTCAAAGTTTTTGTGATTTTACTTTTATGTAAAAATTCAAGATTTTTGTGATTTGATTGCATGTAATTTTACCTCAAAAGAAAAAAAAACTGTAAACAAATATTAAATACTGAAATATGTAAAGGTGAATGTACTTGTATCTTTTGAAATGCAGTGAAAAATTAAGATGGAATGATAGATGAACAGATGTGATTACAGAAGTAGAGTAAAATGTTAATTGTAGACTCTAGGTAGTGGGTATATACGTGTCGACTGTACAGTTCTTTCAACTTTTCTGTATGTCTGAACATTTTCATAATATAAGGTTAGAAAGAGAAAAATCTTAAGGTAAGATCCTTAAACTTGATGCTTAGAGCAGCCTTTATACTCTTAAGATTAAGAACTAATAGAGCCTTTATGGAGAAGGCAATGGCACCCTACTCCAGTACTCTTGCCTGGAAAATCCCATGGACGGAGGAGCCTGGTGGGCTGCAGTCCACAGGGTCGCTAAGAGTTGGACACGACTGAGTGACTTCACTTTCACGCACTGGAGAAAGAAATGGCAACCCACTCCAGTGTTCTTGCCTGGAGAATCCCAGGGACAGCGGAGCCTGGTGGGCTGCCGTCTATGGGGTCACATAGAGTCGGACACGACTGAAGGGACTTAGCAGCAGAGCCTTTATAATCTTAAGATTAAGAACTAGTAGGAAATATAGCACAAAGTGTCTTAAGACATACTATATGAAATAGAATGTTGCTGTTTAGTCACTAAGTCATGTCTGACTCTTTTGAAACCCCACGGACTGTAGCCCACCAGGCTCCTCTGTCCGTGGCATTTCCCAGGCAAGATTACTGGAGTGGGTTATGATAACTATATATATGATTATATATGGTTATGACAACCATATAGAAAAGTAGCCCCAAAAAGCTGTATCAAAATATTAATAAAATGGTCCTAGGGTAGTAGGATTATGGGTGACTTCCCCCTCCCCTCTATTTGTCCAACTTCTTCTAATATAATCAAATTTATGAATTCTTTCTGTGTACATATAAATATACATATGTATATTTAAAGATATTTCTGCAAGTATAATGAATGTAAAAAAATATCAGGAAAAGGGACAGTCAAATATAACTATAAAGAAAGAAACAAATGTATTTTGCTTTTTTTTTTTTAAGACTATGGGTTTACCACCCTCACTTTTACATTCTAACCTTGGATTCTGTCCCCTCTAGTTTTTTATTCAAATACAGATATGTGTTAATTGTGAATATAAATGCACCAAATCAACATGGTCCATCACTTTTTAACTCATGTACTGGTAGTGTATTAAGGTAACAAACAGACTAGATGACACATCCAAGTGTCAGTGCCTTATTATTCTCAGAATCCATAAACAGAGGTAATAGAACAAAGTATGCAATCCACTTTAGGGGAATAAAACCTATTACAAAAGTAGTCTTTTTTGTTAAAGTCTCATTAAGCACTAAACCAAATGTCTTACAAATTGGCCTCTTTCTAGACTCTAGCCTAATTCTTCTACCTAGGAGAAGCTAGTTGGTTGAGCTCCACTCCTTTTGAGATGGTAGCAAGAACCATGTTAGGTCATCCACCTCCTTGAGACACAAGGGGACATATAGATTTGAGCCCCAGGCAAGGACTCAGATCTAAGTCACTTCATCTCTCACAGCCTCACGGTCTTTCTCTATAATATCAGGGCCTGCTGAAAGGTCCGTTCCAGGCCAAAAATTCTCTGAATTTCATGCAACAGGGAAAACAGGCTTTGAGAAATTGAGCAAGGAATAGGTCTCCTTGAACACTACCTGGCCTATTTGTGGGTATAGAAAATGTGAAAACATAAAAACATGTAAATTCATGAAGAGGACCAACTCCATAGAATGCCCTGCACCCCAAAAGCATCTTGAGATACAAACACAGAACAAACGTGACATCATCCTGTTATTACTAAATCACAGGATTAATCCCCATTACAGGGCTTTTTTGAAAAATCTGGCAATCCCCACCCCCTCACTTGATGAACTCTAAACACACTATAAACTCTATTTTCAAGCTAAAATAAAGGTGGCAGAAACAGTTATTACACATCATTAACAAAAAAATGAAGATAATACCTAGATGTATCCTGTGTTTGCTTCACAGCTACTTTAACTGTAAGTGATTTCTTCCTAAGAAATACAAATGAAGGCTTCAAGTCAGAATCACTATTATCAAGTTGGTTACAGGAAAAATTGCTCTTTTTACTGCCAGCCCTTTCTTTCTTTATTTTGTCCTTCCGTGTGTCCTTATAGGATCTCGAATCAACATCGCTTTTATCTGAATGGGTTAAGGCAGTGCAGTCTTTCTTAGATGGCTTAGAAGATTCTCTGACTTGCCCACCTTCAGTCTCTCTCCCTCTTCCAGCATGAGAACAACTGGACTCTCTATTCACAGGGCATTTTTGAGAACCCAATTTTCTATCTTCTTCCTTAGGGTACTTCTGAGGTCTTCCATCATAAAAGTCCTTGTCGCCGTCTGAGGTCTTCCAATATTTGTGGCGAGAATCACAGGATACCTTGGCTGCTGAACTGGTCTCTGGGAATTCCCTTGGAGCATATCGATGAGTTTGGGTTTCGAAGTTCCACTGATCTTTCTTCTCTTGGTAAGGAGCAGAAAAATGCCTGGATTTCCACTGCGGGCTCCTGGCAGGCTCTCTGTTTTCATACCTCTCCACATCTTGAGGTCTTTTTGATGTGTGTCCATATTTTCTGAAATCATGATCCTCAGGATACCTGTGTTGACATAAAACAGTTTACACTTGCACTAGAGAGAAGAAAGTAAGAATTTATATGTGTGGAATGTTGGGCAGCATGGCTTTAAATGCAAAAGTGGTGGAAAGTTAACCTACAATCCCTTAAGCCAGCTCATAGATGCACAAGGTACTTAAAGAAAATAGCATCTTTTTTTTGAAAATAGCATCTTAAAAAAATATATATTCTAGCCATCTACATGATTTACTCTAAAAATAAACACTTCACTACTATCAGTAGACCAAAACTACATTGTAATGCTTTTAATCTTTTAGACAAAAGCTTTTCAAGGTTATCTTCAACCATAAAGTAAACAGACTTTTTCATTTGAGGCTTTATACCAAATTATGCTAGTTTAATTGTTTTTCTATACCTCCTCTGAAAAGAGCTCCTTTTCTCAAAATCTTCAGAGCCTCTTCTAAGTGACTGAGAGTATTTTTCATCTTGTATCCTCTGGTGCCTCGGTTCATCTTCATGCCAATGTCCTTCGAATCTAAAAGAATCTGGTGTTGATCTCACAGGTGGTGTCCCTCCTTTTCCACTTCCTCTATTTCTGTGGTCATCAGGAATATACCTTCCTTGTGCTTTCTGGGGATAACAACTCCTCTGGTGCTCTTTGTAGAATATACCTTCTGAGTGTCTGGGCATATATTGAGCTCTTCTGTTACTATCATCTCCTCTTTCTGGTAAATATACTTGGGGAGGCTTATAAGCATAAAACTTTTCTGAAGAGTTTCCTCTTGTGCTTGGGGAAGGTGATCTATGCTCGTAAGATCGATAATATATATTTTCACGAGAAGAAATCCTTGGTTTACTCTGTCCATGTTTCTCATTGTCCATTCTCCAAGTGATGGGTCTTTTTGGATCCTTCCTGTAGTCGTAGCCATAATGCTCATATCTTTGCTTGTAGTGTTCAGAACTTCTAGGCACTGGTGATAAAGACCTATGCAAACAAATACAGAAAAGTTTAGTCCATTCAAAGACAATACACTAAATTGGTCTTATAGTGACTTATCCAAATAAAACGTTTGCTTTCCCCTGCCTCTTCCACTCAAATTCATCAGTATTTGATATCTGTATTCTAAATTGTTCACTTGGGAGCCTGACTATGCTTCTGCCCAATTCAACACGCATACTCTTTTCACCTGAACTAATGTACCCCATGTACATATCAAAATGGGCTGAGCACAGCCATCCTACTGGAGGAGGACCAGCTTAGGTATGCAGGAGGATCCATTTCGGAAGATTGCTGACAGCAAAGTTCTGGCAAAAGGGCCCATCAACAAAAGCTTACATCAGGTTCCATGGTCAAGTAAGAAAGAGGGTTAGATTCACACAATTAAGTGTGCAGGAGAGTATCTGGAAAACCGAAGATAATCTCTGAAATCAAAATAGATTCTAAGAGTTTATGTTGCATATCAAATCCAAACTCAGACCCCAAACTGATCCCACAGTTTCCCTAACTGATTGTCTATTCTCTCTACTAAGGTTATATCAAGTAGCAAAAACTACATCTTTAAATAGCATGTGGAGGTGGTGGGAGGAAGAGGACCTTAAGAGGTGGACCTCATGCTTAGTCCCTCCAGTATTACTATTGACATATATAAGCTTTATTTCCCAGACCTGTCCCCTTATATATACAATGAAGAAAGTGCTGTTGAACCAGAGCTTTTAATTCTGTGAATGTGTGCTTTAGTGCAGCTTTAATAATCTCCAGGGACAGCACGTCCTTTCTGTAACTACCTTCTCCAACACCTGAGCACTGCCAACATGGAACCTTTCATTCCAACTGAGGAGGAAGGCTTCTGTATCTGAGGAAACCAGTCTGAGTAACCAGTCTTCAGGTTAAGAGAGAGAAGTACTACCATCTGGTTCAAATTTGCACCTGGGGACCTTTCCTCCCATCTGACTTGTCCAATCTCCCAACTTCCTCCCTGAGAGTTTAATGTCTTCTAACCAATGTGGCAGCTACCTTTACAGTTTTTGTTATCACCCCCCTCTGCAGCAGCTGCCACGGAGTTGAAACAACCATGAGTAAAACTCTTTCCACTTGGTGACCTGTCTGGGTTCTCCCTAAAAGAAAGGAGGCTGATTTATCTTCCTCATGTATATACCGGGACTTAGACACTGGATTTGACAATCTCTCCCTCTAGAGTCACCAAGCTAGATGCACTAGCAAGTGCATTATTCAGCTGAAGCAGAGACTCTGTCATCCAGCTGGCTGCAACTCTTCACAGGAAGAAGCAACTGAAGACCCTGAGGACTTCCTCGAACATGGCATCTTTTCTACTGCTAAGGAGAAAAGCTGCCAGCCAGAGGCTGAGGTCTTCCAGGCTGATGAAATACTCAATCTCTTACTTTAATCCTTACCTCACATTGAGTACTGCTTTGATATTATACCTCATATCAGGGTTCTATTGCACAGAGCCCCTTTCTTCTGAAGGAGACTGCTGAAATAGTGGCTATCATTTTCAGTTCTCCTGAAGAGACAAAAGAGACCCAAGGAATCTGTTGGGAGACTCCATGGGTCTCTAGTGCTCTGCACGCCTCCTGAGCTTCTGTTTCAAGGCAAACTCCCTGGAAAGATAGGGACAGGGCCTCCCTAAGGGGCAGAGAGCCAATGTGCTTGCTGTCCAGGATAACAAGATAATGTCTCCTCCAAGGCAAAGGCTGGGCAGGATTCCCTGCTGTCCTTAATGGGGCTTGGGCTCCTCAGCTGTGTCAGCAGCTCCCACCCTCAGAGGACTAGAGGTAATGTGTGTGTGTGTGTGTGTGTCAGTCACTCAGTTGTGTCTGACTACATGGCTGCAAGCCCACAGACTGGGGCCCACCAGGCTCCTCCATCCATGGAATTTCCCAGGCAAGAGTGCTGCAGTGGGTTGCCATTCCCTTCTCCAGGGGATCTTCCCGACACAGGGATCAAACCCGGGTCTCCTACACTGCAGGCAGACTGTTTACTGTCTGACCCACTAGGGAAGACAGAGGTAACAGGAGCACAGGAACATGAAGCTCAGCCGCCTGCTGCACATGAGTAATAAAAGCTTTTGTCTCTGATCCAAGAGTGCCTTGTGACACACTAGTCTGTCAGCTTGCAAGGAGGGAATGATAGCAGACCTTCTAGAGTTGGTGACAAAGAGTTCTGAGAAGGCACCCAGAAATCAAGCACTAAGCTTGGCAGTCTTTTGTGCCACCTCACCAGAGCCTACCACAAAAGGGTGAAACAAATGACCTCTGTGAGGCCCTCCATGTTCAAACCATTTACTTCTTTGCATTCCCTTTTCTTTCTGAAGCTCGTCCACATTACAATTTTGTCTTGAAAATAACAAAATGAAAACTGTTGAAGCACGTTCCAAACCCATGCTTACTCTGCTTAACTAAGGACTGCTCACCTGTGCCTCCACCTGGGGGATCTAGAGCGTGACCGTGCCATCCTTTGACACGTGAGCCACTATCCTCTTTTTACGCTGCAAAGAAACACAGGATTAGCAAGTTTGTAGAAAGGGCCTGTAACCTGCTCCAAAAACAGTGAATGCCACTGACAAAAAGGAACTTAAGCCCTCTGTGCCTCAGTTTCCTTATAGGACCCACCTTATTGGAATATTTTAAACATAAAATCAATTAGATCAAAGGTAAGAAAGTTTTTTCTGTAAAAGGCCAGAGCATAACTATTTCAGATTTTGCAGTTCATATAAGGTTTCCATCATATTATCTTCTTCAAAAAAAATTTTTTTTAAAAAAATATAAAATCATTTGTAGCTCAAGGACCACACAAAAATAGGCACCAAAGGCCAAATGCATTGCCGTTTGATGATCCCTTAGTTAAATCATGGAAAAAGCTCAGAATACTGGCACACAGCAACTGCTAAATAAGTGTTTCAAAAAGAGGGAACACTCCCCCAGAATTCCTCTGAGCACAACCACTACTACTCCTCCCCACCTTTCACCATTGGTTATGTACATAAAACTGCAGTTACGTTCATACAATCAACAGTCAAGATATTTACGAATACTTGATGATATATTCACTTTTAAAAATGTTAGATAATAAGAATTACAATGCCTAATTATCATACTCAATTATCACCTAACTTCCACCAGATACATATACCAAAACTTAAGGATGATTATAGACATTTAGTTTGCTTCTGTTTTCTAAAACAAATAATGTCAAATAAGTTAATCTTAGAAAACATATAAACTAGGTTTTAAAAATATATTTCAGTCTTTAAAAGAAACTGGTAGATTTAGGAACTGAATTTTTATAAAAAGCACATTTGGGTATAATCTTTTATATCAGTTGTTTTTAGCACAAGTCGCTCAGTCGTGTCCGACTCTTTGCGACCCCATGGACTATACAGTCCATGGAATTCTCCAGGCCAGAATACTGGAAGCCGTTCCCTTCTCCATGTCAGTAATCTTCCTCAGTTCTGATACTATAGTTAAGTAGTTCCCAACTAACTGGACCCAACCCCCTGATGGCTTTTAAAATTATTGCCATGGGTCCATGAATAATACACACAGCTACCAAAAACAGACTACAGAATGAATAAGGGTATGTCTCACATATTAGAAGCTCTATTTTGCAAATTTCTGAAGATACTATAGCCACTGTTAAAATATAAATGATTTCTTGTCAATACAAAGTTTTATCACTCACTAATATAAAAAGTAAAACCATAACTACGTGAACATAGGTTTGAAAATGGAGTTCTCATAGTCAAACATTTGCAAACTATTGCTATAATAAATTTCAGTAGAAAGTAAAAGCACATAAGGTCAAAGAACTTGAACCAGATCACTCACCAGAATCACATTCAATTCAATTCAGTTATATACTGGTTCTTTTAAAAAAAAATTAAGGCTAGGAAAAATTAGTTCAGATGTACTATGAAATTAAGACACTAAAGCAGAAAGTGTTTTCTTCTGAAAGTGAAGTTTCTCAGTTGTCTCTGACTCTTTGTGACCCCATGGACTGTAGCCTACCAGGCTCCTCTATCCATGGGATTTTCCAGGCAAGGGTACTGGAGTGGGTTGTCATTTCCTTCTCTAGGGGATCTTCCCAACCCAGGGATCGAACCAGGGTCTCCCACGTTGCAGGCAGACGCTTTACCATCTGAGCCACCAGGGAAGCCCAGTGTTTTCTTAGTAACTAAAAATGTAAAAATGGGGGGGGGGAATGGGGGAAGTGGCAGTTAAGGAGTTTGGGATGGGCATGCACACGACGCTTATATTTAAAATGGATAAACAACAATGACCTATGATACAGTACATGAAACTCTGCTCAATATTACGTGGCAGCCTGGATGGGAGTTTAGGGGAGAATGGATACATGTATGTGTATGGCCAAGTCCCTTCACTGTTCACCTGAAACTATCAAAACATTGTTTGTTAATCAGCTATGCATGAGTGATTAGTTGCTTTAGTCATGTCCAACTCTTTGCGACCCTATGGACTGTAGCCCACTGGGCTCCTCTGTCCATGGGATTTTCCCGGCAAGAATACTGGAGTGGGTTGCCATGTCCTCCTCCAGGAGGTCTTCCCAACCCAGGGATTGAACCTGTGTCTTCTGTGTCTCCTGCATTACCACTGAGCCACCAGGGAAGGCCCTAATCAGCTATAACCCAATAGAAAATAAAAAGGTTAACAAAAGAAAAAATATATATATAAATGTATTCATTTAACAAATGTCACTGAGTACATATTATTTGCCAGGCACTGTTCAAGGGAGAGCGCAGTGAAGAGAAACAGAAAAAAGTTCCTGCCCTCTTGGAGCTTACAATCTACTGAGGGAACTTATAATTTAATTAAAGAAGTTTTGGGTACATATTTATTAAATTAAACAAAAATAATAAAGCTTAAAGGTTGTACGGGAGACACCAAACACAGTTGATTGTGATGAAAAAGTATAATTTTCCCAGAGGGTAATTTTTTAACCCATTTTATTTTTTGTAAAACATTTACTGAGATACAATTCACATATCATACAACTGACCTATTTAAAGTGTATAGTTCAGTGTTTTTCAGTATATTCACAGGGATTTGTAACCACCACCACAATCTAATTTTAGAATATGTGATTCTTTGTGATTGGCGTCTTTCCTTTAGCATAATGTTTTCAAGGTTTTACTATTATCAGTACTTCATCCTTTCATGGTTGAATACTAGCCCACTTTATGGGTATACCACATCTTGTGATTCATTTATCTCTCAATGGATATTTGGGTTGTTTCTATTTTGGGGGCTATTATGAATAATGCTACCATGAACATTTGCATACAAGTTTTGCGTAGACACAGTTTTTCAATTCTCTTGGGCATAAACCTAAGAGTGGAACTCCTGAGTCATACACTCACCCAATGTTTAACTTCTTGGGAGACTGCCAAAGTTTTCTAAAGCAGCTACATCATTTTACATTCCCACCAGCAATGTATGAAACTTCCAATTTTTCCACATCATCATTGACATTTGTTATGGTCTGTCTCTTCCACTATAAGTCATCCTAGTAAGGGTGAAATGGTACCTCACTGTGGTTTTGATTTGCATTTCCCTAATCATGGGTAACCTCAAAATATGTAAGAAATTATGAAACTAATCATGCCTACTTTCCTTTAATCTAATAATTTCAGTCTAAATGTGTTATTCTAAGATAATAATTTAAAAGAAAAAAGCAGCTATATATACTAAGATGTTTATATCAGCTTAATTTAAAATAGGAAAGAAAAAAATCCACTCAAACGAACTATAATGCAAATGCCCAACAGTCAATAAAAGATTAAACAGATTTAAAATACATATATCTAGTCACTCCCTACCTTTCTCCTAGCCTTGTATGTCTTTTCCTTCACATATCTTATTAGTTCACCACAGCAAATGACTTGCTTTTCCCTGATCAGGCCATTCTGTTCATACCACACAGATGGCTTTCACTCACTCTGCCTGACAAATCCCTATTCTTTCAGGACTCTTTGACCATCAACTCCTTGATACTCTTTCCCTGACTTTCTTTTTTTTCCCCTGAGTTCCTTTCTTTTTGGGAATTCTGAGTTTATTCTACAATTCTGTTAATACATTGTGATTATTTAATATAACTATTTATCTCAATAGGCAAAGACTCCAAACAGCACATCACAGAACACAAAACTCAAATGACCTATGGACATCTGAGATGTTCAACCTCAATAGTAACTGAGTAAATACCAATTCAGATCATAACCATTCCACACCTGTCAGAATGACCACAAAAAAATAAAAGTTGCATATTTTACAGCGTTGGTGAGGTTGTGGAATGACAGAGACTGTCGTACATTGCTAAGCAGGTATACGACCTGCTTATAACCAGTTTGGAAGGGGTTGGCAGTAGCCGTTAAACTTGAACGTGCTGATATTCCATGAACTGGCAATTTCACTCAGGGATAGAGCTTAGAACAGTGGTTCTCCAACTTTAGTGCGAGGAAGAGTTACCTGAAAGACACAACACAGAATGTTGAGCCCTCCTCTGGGATGGGCCCTATTTCTAGCAAGTTCCCAGGTGATGGAGATTCTGCTGGTCCTGGGACTATAAAACTACTGGTTTACTCAAAATGGATTAAAGATCTAAATGTAAGACCAGGAACTATAAAACTCTTAGATGAAAACATAGGCAGAATACTCTTTGACATAAATCACAGCAAAATCCTCTATGACCTACCCCCCAGAGTGCTGCTGCTGCTGCTAAGTCGCTTCAGTTGTGTCCGACTCTGCGCAACCCCATAGATGGCAGCCCACCAGGCTTCCCTGTCCCTGGGATTCTCCAGGCAAGAACACTGGCGTGGGTTGCCATTGCCTTCTCCAATGCATGAAAGTGAAAAGTGAAAGTGAAGTCGCTCAGTCATGTCTGACTCTTTGTGACCCCATGGACTGCAGCCCACCAGGCTCCTCCGTCCATGGGATTTTCCAGGCAAGACTACTGGAGTGGGTTGCCATTGCCTTCTCCAACCCCCCAGAGTAATGGAAACAAAAACAAAAATAAACAAATGGGACATAATTAAACTTCAAAGCTTTTGCACAACAAAGGAAATTATAAGCAAGGTGAAAAGGCAGCCTTCAGAATGGGAGAAAATGATAGCAAATGAAGCAACTGACCAAAATATACAAGCAAAACAGCAAATATACACAACACAGGAAATTATAAGCAAGGTGAAAAGGCAGCCTTCAGAATGGGAGAAAATGATAGCAAATGAAGCAACTGACCAAAATATACAAGAAAGACAGCAAAAGAGACACAGATGTAAATAACACACTTTTGGACTATGTGGGAGAAGGCAAGGGTGGAACGATATGAGAGAATAGCATTGAAACATGTATATTACCATATGTAAAACAGATGACCAGTGCAAATTTGATGCATGAAGAAGGGCATCCAAAGTTGGTGCTCTGGGATAACCCAGAGGG